GAGCTTCCCAGGTTGACAGTGCTCCGTGCGGGTTGTGAGTGGGGCGCGGCTTGTAGGTTTTTAACGGGGTTATGGACGTGGTGGGTTTTTAAAAGAGCAATGGCTTTAGGGCCGTTCAGGGGATACGAGGGCTAGGGTGAGGGGGGAGGGGGTTCACTTTTGACGTCACGCGAGGTCGTGGTACTCCGCCTTTAGTCGTCCTCCATGGGAATGGGGGTCAGAGATCCAGCGAAAAATGTGACACTTTTTTTTCTTGCATATCGTCTCGCGAATGTCACAAGAAAAGACGGTACGATACGCGGACGGTCCATCGGGTTCGCGAAAGGATCTGTACAGCGCGTGTAATGGGAACCTCCTCCCATGCAAGACAAGGCAGCGACGCCGTGCAAGGAATGGAAATGCCCTCGGCCGACGTGGTCGTCAGCGCCCTTTTCGCGTGATCCGACTTTGCAAAGTTTCGGGTGAGTTACGGGATTCCTTTTTTATATTCAGGGCGAAGGATTTGAAAGGATACTGCAGAGAGTGGATGTTCAGGGGAAGGTCGGCTGAGCATCGGCGCCCGAGTTAGGACTTCGATTTTATCCCTTTGTCGTGAGCGCGAGGTCTCGAGGACGTGTTCGGGATGGAGGTTTTCGAAGAGCCGGGGCGTCACACCCTCGAGGAACACGGGCGTCACACCCCCGTCAGGATGGACTCTCGCACGTGTAAGGCCAGCCACTGTGTCATCATAGTTTTGTATTCGTTGGGTTTGTTACCTGTTACTTGTGGTCGTGGGGCGAGTGTGAGGGATTGTGTAATGTTCTCTAGCGTCTCAGTAGGTCCTTGGCGTCGAATTTCGTTGTCTCGTGTTGCCTCGGTGCATGTACGTCGTGTGATGTCATAGGTCTCTTCGGACATGGTCGGGTGTCGGCAGGTTTTGGCGAAGTATCTCGCAGTTTTGTGTGAGATATTTGTGAGGAGTTTGTTATCGTGGGAAAAGTTTGGTGCTTTGGGTACTACCGTGGCCTTTATATGACATCGTCTTGCTCCAGGGTTGCATTATAAGTTGCCAGTATGTAAGTTTTGCATTTTTCATATCATCCATATTACTTATGTTTATTAAAAGACTTTTTTTATGCAACCGAGTGTTATTTGTACAAAATATGATAAATGCATACACCATGATTCATACTTACACTTGAACATCTTGTGTAACATGCAGTTACGTTGCCAGAGCTATATGACCCCGAAATATTCTTTATTTGCCGAATGAGAAAGACCAACACGCCAGAGACGCAATAGATGTCAAGTAGATGTCCCCGCAGCGGTGCCTCGCGCGGCTTCCACACGTGACCGAAGTGCTGTCGCGGGGAATGAGGCCTGGTGTCAGTTGCGCAGAATTATGTGTGTGTGTGTGTTCTTGCGGGCTGGACTCTGGCGTTATTTTCGGGCGTGTTGGTGGACTGAACGAGGTTGTTGTTTTTTTAAGGGCGAGGTGGTGCAAGGAGCATGGAGTTCCGGGTGTGTGAGGGGGGGAGGGCGGGAGGGCGGGGGTAGGCTAGAGGTTTCCACAGTGCTGGATTCGCGTGCAAGTAATGGGACATTCAAATGCGCCGAGGACAAAATAGCGTGGAAAGAAAAGGCGAAGGTGACGTCAGAGATGGCGGAGGGGGGGTGGGGAAGGTGGGAGGCGGATTGGGGGAGGGGAGAGGGAGGGGAGAGGGAGGGGAGGGGGTAGAGGACTGTGTGAGGAGTGAGAGGTCTCGAGAGGATCATAAGTGTTGTTTTTTGGGCGACAGGTTTAAGAAGCGCAAAAATAAACTGTGGGTTTCTTCTTGCTCTTTTCGGGCGCGAGGGGGGAAAGCAGGGCTAGGAACTAGGGGCGAGGAACCAGGACCCATAGACCAGGGACTCGTGACCAAAAGCTAGGGATGTGGACCAGGGACCAGGTATGATGGACCGTGAAACGAAGTACCAGACTCTCAGCCCAGGGACCAAAGACCAAAAGCCGGAGACGGAGGGCAAAGGGTCTTTTCATGATAGGTAATAGTGGACGCGGTGTAAGGAAAAGACCAAGGGAAACAAGCACGTGTTTTCCATCGATCCGCGGCGGGCTGGCCAAACCCGGGAGATTATGTGCGTGTGATGCTCCAGAATCCCATGACCTTTGAGGGGGAAAAAGAGGAAGAAAGTATATATAAAAAAAAAAAAACGTATATTCACCGGATAGGAAAGCCCCGGATCTCTTGGAAGAGGCAGGTGACAGTAGGAGAGAGAGGGACTTGAGAAGGGCGGAGATGGACACAAAGAGGGGCAAGAGACATTCTGAAAAAAGGAAGAAAGAAAAAAAAAAGGAAAAAGGGAAACGGGGTCACAGGAGGTGGTGTTGTAATGTAACGTTGCCCGGGCTTTGCATTAGGCGCGATGTGACCAACTCATCTTTAGTAGCGCGAGCCCCTCCGGCTGGCTGCCTGGCTGGGCCGCCCACCCGCCCGCCCGCCCGCGCCCGCCGCCCGCTCTG